GTATAGTGGTTAAGGTTCTGGACTCCCACATAGCCAGCCACACTTTTTCAAATCCTGGAGCTGGTGTCTTGAAAATCATGGTGGGCACATGTGCATGCGTGCCCAAAATCCCAGAAGGAAAATAGAGGAGAAGGGATCATGGCATGCCCATCCCCCAAGGGACTGATTTCTCACTTTCCCTCTCTCTGTCTCTGTCTCTCTCCAGCGAGCATACGCGCCTCATGGCAAAAAACTAAAAAGAAGCAAATGCTCTGTTTCTAGCATCATTCTAAAAGCATTTTTTAAAGAATTGTTTTAATTTTATTCATCACCAGTTTTTAAAAATTTGACCAGAAAGACTAGAAAGAGAGCAGAAGAGTGAGAAAGTGAGTCACCAGGTCCAGGACTTGAACAGTGGTCAACCATGTGGTGGTCTAGCACCTTAAACACCAGGCCACCTGCTGGCCTCCTTAAAATGTTTTTTACCCATATGTGATAGTTTTCTGGTCTATTCCACTTGTCATATCCCCTTGCACACAGAGTTTTAAATATCTTGTTCTGTCCTTGAAAACTATTAAAAGCATGAAGATTCTGAGCCTTTCTGTAGTGATCATTACAGGTAATAGTGATCAGCAAAAGGTTGGTTTCACTCTTAATAAATTTAAATTTTGGAACAATTACTACTACAGACTACACTTAGATTACTGATGATTTCAAACATTTTGTCCAAACCACCAAATCCCAAGGTTCTTTGCTTCTCAGAGAACTGATTTTCTATGATGAATTTCTGAGCTGCCTTTAAAGCACCCAACCAAACTCTGAACTGTCATATTAGCTAGGTAAAAGATAAGGGGTAAGAAAAGTATCCAGTCATCCAACCACATTTCTGGTGTTTTTGTACAAGCTACAGATCAAATACAGTCACTTAATAAAGTCCTTGTTTCTCTTTCCCTCCCTCCCTGTCTCTCTCCCTATTCGCCTAGAGAGGGGAACCCTAAACCCTTTGGAGACTTGCCAGTAGCACCAGAAGAATCTCTTGACTATTTTCCCAGGGAATTCCTACCTTAAATGTCAGCAGAGTACAACTTCCCAGCCAAAGCGGAGTCCGCCTGCATCAGAATCAAGGAAAATGTGCCTGTTACACCGAATGGGAAAAACTGGATCATGAAGTGTGGGGTATGAAAAGTGGGGACAAAGAAAGAGGTTTATTTGCAAAAGATCCAACATTCACTGGAAACAGAGATATTCTCAAATTGACCTCATTGAGGAGTAGGAGGCTAAGTCAGACCTTGTGGTTCCTCACTGTTGTTCGATTATTGATTTTATTTTACTCTTTTAGTGATGAGCGGTATTTCTAGAAACTGCCCTAAGTTATAACCTTAAGGTAACACTTCTTTGAAGAGGGAACAAAGCTCTATTAAACTCTTTGTTGTGGTGGTTGTGTGCTGCTGCTATTGTTCTGTTTGTTTGTTTGTTTTTTAATGAACATACTGATATATAAGTGCTCTGGGGGAATTCATGATGTCGAGACTCATGAGAGGCAAAATAAGATTTATGAGTTGCGATTGAGTCTGCCCCTTCCAGCCCGGAGACACGTCCCGTCTGGTACTGAGGTATTGCTGGCATTTTTAGTGCTTTTGTTTCAGTCTTCAATCTCTGAAACACATGAAGAAATATTAAAAGTTCTGAGGGCAAGAGGGGAGAAAAGAATCCACAAATCCCAAAGATATACAACAGCACCAGAGGAAAACAGTATGGCGTAGTAGATTAAAAATTCACAAGCAAAGTGTGTCAACCAGCCAGATTTTGCTAGGAACTCTTATCATTTTCATTTACCCTTTGCAAGGTTGTCTGGTAGAGAAGATCAATTTTAAATCAATGTGACATGTAATTATCCTCCTTCCCTCCCCAAAGATCACAACACTATACAGTAAGAAAGTCAAGAAGATTCAATTAAAAAATTACTTCTCTTTTTTTGTTTTGGAAAGGTTTTTGCTATAGGGCGTGTACACTCACCAGAAAGACAGAGAGAGATAGAGAGACAGAAAGTGAGAAATCACCACCCAAGGGGGATGGCCATGCCACAATCCCTTCTCCTCCATTCTCCTCTTGGGATCTTGGGCACACATGCACACGTGCCCAGCGTGAGTTTCAGCCACTGGGTCCATGATTTGAATTGCAGTCAACTACATGGAAGACCAGCAACATAGCCATTATGCCAACTACTGGTCCCAAGAAATTACCCCATTTTTAAATGAATTGGGCCCATTTGAAGTAACTGGCATGGGGAGGGGGATTAGATTCCAACTCTCATTCAGATCTAGGCTCTGGTCAAAACAGTTCAACTTAGAAGCTATCACCCATATTCATCTCTCCCCACTTCATATTGCCCTGTCACCACAACAAGCACATTATAGCTGCTTTCTTCCTTCATCCTGTTCAGTATAGATCGCCTCAGACAACTCTACTGGAAATATCCCCCTCTACTTTAAGGAAAAGCCAGACAAGTTGCTGGTTACTGCAAAGAACTGATACTATTTCAGCGAGATTGGTAATACCATCTCAAGTATACAGAATAATTAACAATATCTAAAACAAACTACTTCTGGTAGATAAAGGGTTAATCTCTAATCAATTTTAAATTACTCTACTGAGAGTACTAATAAATCTATGAGTTAATGCCAGCTAGGGTGGCCCTTCCCTTGACGGGAACAGTCATCCCTTAGGAACTGAGCTGTCAACACACCAGCCAGACAGAAAAAAAAGAGTTTGAGAAACTGTGGTAACCAAGTTTTGCTGGCACTTTGTTAAATGGTGACTGGAACTGCTATGGTTATGCAGAGAATGCTAATGAGTCTGGAATAATCTGCAAAAAACGAACCCAAAAATACCCCCCCTCAACCAGTAGCCCTAAGGAGCTCCACTCTCTGAATTGCTGTGCATCTAACCACAGGATTCATTCACAAGGAAGCACCTACACACTGCAGACTTGTTCCTGGGGGTCATGGGCCTCACAAGCACTTTTGACTCCACTTTTCAGGGTCAGAGTAATTACATGTAGCGAATCTATTTAGAAAATCAGTTCTCAATCTTGAGAACGACATTTTGCTCCTTTTTAATCTCCTTCTAAAATCTGAATAGTAAACAGCTATAAAAATCAATATGAAATGTTTTAATGTTCTTTATGGAGTTGCACAAAGTCCCTTTTCTCCTCTCATTGGAAGGTATTCTGATTTTCAGGAAGTATATTTTTAAAAGGTCATTGATATACAATTATCCATGTGCAGCTGTCAATGGATATTCTTTGTGTAAAGATTTATTTAACTTTATTTGTCATTATGATCTACTTTTGTTTTTAATTTGACCAGAAAAAGACAAAGAGAAAAAGGAAAAGTGAGAAAGCAATGGCAGTTGACCATGGACCACACCACCTGCTGGCCCTGTCAGTGTATATTCTTAAGAATGTAAATTCAATCTTTGTTTTTGGAGGCTGCCTGAAATAGTAATAAAGTACTACTCTGAAATTCACACTCAAATTTTAATTCCTCTTTTTAATGGGAGTTTTTCATTCATTCCCATGTCTCAAGTTCTCAAGTGAGACAAAACAAAAAATTGTAATTGTGATTTAAAAGTATAATGATAGTCCTTCTTCTATATTTTCTTGTCATGTTTTATTCTAGGAAAAAATAATGCAATCTGAAATGAGATGGTAAGTAGGGAGAGGGAGAAGTCCATAGGTAGATATGAGTTATTATCACTATTCTAATTGTTGGGTTGAGTAGTGTGTTCACAGATCCTCATTACACTATTAAAAAGTCATTAACTGGGGCCAGTAGGTGATGTGGTGGTTAAGGCCTTGGACTCCCACATGGCCAACTGTGGTTTGAGTCCTATACCTGGCAGATTGCTTCCTCACTTTTCCTCTGTCTCTGTCTCTCTCTGATGAGTACACATGCCCTATAGCAAATTGAAAAATAATAATAAATGAAAATTTCAAAATAGCTAATGAATTAACTTTTATTAAATAAGAGGGCCATATGTGTACCAGAGATGACAGAGTTTTAAGATTATCCCAATTCTATGCACCTAAGGTCTATTTAAAGAAAATAAATAAATAAATGTCAATGTAGATAGTGAATTCTTAGATTTGCCAGAGTTTACCAAACTCCTTGGGCAGGGAGGTCTTCATAAGCATGCAACCCATATAGCCACATGGTCCTGATTTAGAATGGCCTCACTTTAATGCGTGGCTATCGTAATCCTGAAATTCTTAAATATTTTTGAGCAAGGAGCCCTGAATGTATTTTGCACTATGACAAGCAAATTATCATTCCTGTCCCAAGATTTACAAATATTAAATTTATCTCTAGTTCCCAATACTCTTCCCGATCCAACCTCTACATTTTAAATATTTGTTACTTCTTACTCTATATTTTAAATATTTGCTCCTTCTTACCCATAAATTATTAATAAACAGATGAGTAGACTGGAACAGACTTACTCCCTATATTTCCTGCTTGTCCTTCTGTACAAACTAGTACTGCCCATGCTAAAGTGGGGCTGCAGTTACATATTGCGTTTATAATGCACCATCTCAGATCAAAAAACCTCAAAGAGAAAAAACCCATTGGCTATTTTGACACTCAAAGACAAATATGCAGAAGCCTAGATCTCAGTTCATCTCAGCTGCTGGATAGTACAAATTTGTTTTCTAGTAGTTGCCCATTTTCAACTACATACCCAAACAAGATAAATTCTCGGCATTTTCTGTAGGAGGGACAATTCAAATCTTGATTTGGAGAAATCATGATTTTCAAAGATTACTAATTAAAGAAATACAATGGAAGCAAATGTTCTGTGTTCCTGAAATGCCTTGTGTCTGTAGCGATCAGGTACAGAAAAGTTATTTCAAGTTCAAATATAACTTTGTGATTGCCACATGGTGCAGAATCTTTCCACCCCTACACTCCAAAAACCCAATCAGACAAGTGGCCGTAATCTGACTCCCAGCGCTCTGGGAGCTGCGGGCAGGCAATGAGAGCTGCACTCTGGCCAGGGAAGGCATGAGTGACAGACCCGCAGCAAGGCGGTGGGGGTAAGTCCTTCTTTCCCTTCAGACAATAAGGCTTAGGGCCAGAAGAAGAAACTCTGGCCCTTTTCTTGTAGATATGTGTGAATTTTTATGCAGAATCTAGAAGGTGGGGATTGAACAGGTGGGTGGTTCTTTTTAGATCTGGGCATATATGTAGAGAAGACAGAAAAAAAAGGGATGCTTTTTAGTAAACTCCTCCATATATCTGAGTCCTGAGAATGCACGGGGAAAATATCCTCTGGAGGTAAATCTATCTGTAGTAGTTTTCAACAGAAAACTCACTCACCCAGGGGCTTAGCTATCCAGGAGAAGATGAGGCTGGGTGTTCAGCTAGAAAGTAACATGTCCGGTCCGGTACAGCCCGGTCACATCAACAAGCCCCCTTTGTTCTGGGGCAAAAGAAGCAAAACAAATTGTGCCTATCCATTTGGGGCAAGTGTGAAATGTAAGAAAACATCAACAATAATGACGGGGGCTTGGACAAGCTGGGGCTAGCCCTCCCAAAGCCAGAGGTATGAATAGGCTGTCAGCAGACTTGGGGGTTCACAGCCAGCTGAGGCTGGTTACTCTGCCTTGGGAGGAGGAGGTCAGATTTTTGTGGATTTAAAAAAAAGAAAAAGCTAAAAGCACTCCTAAGAAGCGTATTTATATTTTGTTTGTCTTGGTGTTTGGTTTTGGGGGTGTGTATGTTTAATTTCTCTGGCTGATGAAAATTGGAAGCAGAAAGAGCAACTTAATTTCTTAAATTAGGTCTCTAGAGAGGTAGACAGGTGTCGGAGAGAATGCACACGGAGAAGTGAGGGGCAAAGGGGTGTCACCAGGGAGGCTGGTCTTTTCAGGGACCGCCTCTCCTGGGGCTCTCCTGCACTGCTGAGAAAGGACTGTCTCCTGCCCACCCAGCTTCCTTAGCTTTCTGCTTTGTCCCCTCCCATTTCCCCACTAAACCCAGGCACAGAGGATAGCACCTGTAATAGCACTGTGCCCCGTTGTGGTTCAGCTACAGCCTGGGCTGCGGTGAGTTCAGAAATGACTCTGATACCTTCTTTTTCCATTTGTGAGTTCTCTGAGTTTCTCTTCCCTTGGGTATATTTTTAATGTCTATCTCTCTCAGGGTGCTCTCCCTACCCCTTTCCAAGTGCTGGTTTTGTCTCTTTATATTCTCTTCCTCTAGCAGGCATGCGTACCAAAGCTGGGGTTTTCATAAATACATGATTCACTTAGAGGAGTCTACCTGGACAGGGGATGCTGGAGACATGGCTGGCCATTCCCCTTCTGGAGCCTGACCCTTCTTTTATGCTGTCACCCAGGCTTGGGCACGAAAAAGTTTTCTTTTTCCAACTGTGAAGCAAAGCACCATATCAAAGGGAAGACTAGGCTGTGATGCTAAAGGTCAAGGGAGGGTTTTCCTAGCCCTTCCTGGGTCAGCATTTCCTGTCTGCCCATGCAGAACAGAACCCAGGCTCCTGGAAACCGTGAGCAATGTGAGGTCGATAAGGGCCCCACCAAAAGTCCAGGGGAAACCGTGGTGCTTCTAATCTTTTAAGCTACTTGACTTTCTTACCTAACTCTTTGACTAGTCCTCTGTGATTAGGCTCCCCATTAAATAGTCTCCATGCTTCTTGGCTTTCATGATTGTAAGAGGCAAAGGACAACGCAAAGTCTTCGATAACCGGGTAACTGGGTAATTGCCTCTAAGGGGAATCCTGGCGGTTTCTTGCCAGAAAGAGCAGCTGGCACTAATAGCGTCAAACCACCCCTTCTCAGCTCCAAAGGTCCAAGGACAATATGAGAAATATAGATTGGAGGAAGAAAGGCTCTTTCCTGGGGCCGCCTCACAGTCCACCGCCCTCCTGCACCCCTCCACTCAGGCCCCCACACAACCACAAGAGGTGCATGGTCCACGTGCATCTAAGAGAAGGCCATCAGGAAGACCCTAGAGGAAAAAATTGTAAAACTGCCTTCCTTAGAACCTCAGCTCTGAGGACCACAGCTCCCTGGGCCATTCTCCCTTTTCCTAACTAGTCTGAGCTCTGCGGGAGGTGGGCGGGTGAGCGCGCAGGGTCCTGGAGGCGACAATTGCGTGCCCAGCCTCCACGATCCCTTTGAGAGTTTTGTGTGCACTATATCCACTGTATCGTCAAGAGTTGAGAGGGGGTCGGGCGACTGTCCTTCCTCTCCTAAACTCCAAAAGCACCCCTACCCGCAGGTCCCTCACTCCCTGCGGGCAGGAGGCCACCGCGCTGGCCGGCGTGCTGGCGGCTCCTGGGGCCGGCGCCCTAGTCGGGGCTGACAGGCTGCTCTGTTTGTTCACCTGGCCGCTGCCAGGGAGCCTGGCACGCCCCGATGGCCGCTGCTCCGCCCTCTGAGAGTGCTCCGAGCTGTCCCGACCTGAGGTTGACACGTCCGGGCTTGTGCGCCTAAATCTGGGCGGCACACAGCGTCTCCCGGGAAAGGCCCAGCTCCTGGGCTCCTCCTGCTGGCTGTGGCTGCGGCCACCCCAGGCCCTGCCGGTCCCACTGCCGTGCAAGCCCCCAAGAGCTTCGGGTCCCCTCCAGCGATTTACCATCTCAAAACAGTCACCAGCCTTCTCGGCCTCCTAGAAGGCCTTTTTTTTTTTAATTTATTTTTATACATTTCATCACGGTGTATCATAACCCAGAGTCTCTACAAAGGAAGGAGGATGGTTCTACAAATCCACTTCAGAATGCCATTTTAAGCAGTAAAGTTAAAAACTGAAGAAGACCCCTTTTGTTATTGCTTTAGGTCCAAATTATAAATGGCAGATCTGGCGCCGTGGCACTCTGCTAAGATGCTGTGCTCCAGGGGCTGGACCTAATATGGGCCCAGTGGCAAGAACTTGTCCTGTGACTGGGGAGGCTGAGGCAGCAGGATCTGACCTCCAGGCTGGCCTGGGCAACACAGGCAGCCTCGGTCTAAAACGGAGCCCTGGGCCACTCTGTGGTACCCTGGTAAGGGCAGCAATGCTAGACCCATCAGGACAATCCAGTGCTCTGTTCCCAGGTGGACCTGCCACCCAGTTGAGGTCTCTCTCTCTCTCTCTCTCTCTGTCTTTTGTTTCTCTCCCATGAAAGGAAAAAATAACATGACATGTAAAAAGGACATTCAAACTGGGACCAGCAGTTAGCATAATGGCTATGTCGCTGGACTCCCATGTAGTTGACCATGGTTCACGTCCCGGACCTGGTGGCTTAAACTCATGCTGGGCATGTGTGCGTGCATGCCCGAGATCCCGAGAGGAGAATGGAGGAGAAGGGATTGCCGTGTGGCCATCCCCCCTGGGGTGGGGGTGATTTCTCGCTTTCTGTCTCTCTGTTTCTCTCTGTCTGTCTGGCGAGCACACGCGCCCTATAGCAAAAACCTCTCCAAAAAAAAAAAAAAAAAGGTACATTCAAACTTAAAAACTAGTTTTGAGGGGATTAAGTACAAGGTAAATAAATTTGATTTTTAATTTTTTAAGGAACTTCATTTAGACATTTTTCTTTCTAGGGACAATTATGATAATTTCCCAGTCAAACTAGATGATCTTCGAATATTAAATCCAAAGAGGCTAGAATGACAATCTCTTGACTATTAATTAAGGAGATTTTTCCCAAAGCATTCTTTCTGGGTGTGCAAACAATGTTTAGCAGCCCTGCCCACAGTGCCCGATCAGACTCCGGGACTAGCCCCCGTCACCTAATTCGTAACCGAAAGGTGGATTTGGTGGCTTCTGATGTCAATTTGTTTCCTTTTTCAGTAAGTGTGGACCTTTGTGTAGAAGAGAGAACATCATGGTAGCTTTCAAAGGGGTCTGGACACAAGCTTTTTGGAAAGCAGTGACAGCGGAATTTCTGGCCATGCTAATTTTTGTTCTTCTCAGTCTGGGATCCACCATCAACTGGGGTGGAACGGAAAAGCCCTTACCTGTCGACATGGTTCTCATCTCCCTTTGCTTTGGACTCAGCATTGCCACCATGGTGCAGTGCTTTGGTCACATCAGTGGAGGCCACATCAATCCTGCTGTGACTGTGGCCATGGTGTGCACCAGGAAGATCAGCATCGCCAAGTCTGTCTTCTACATCGCAGCCCAGTGCCTGGGCGCCATCATTGGAGCCGGAATCCTCTACCTGGTCACACCTGCCAGTGTGGTGGGAGGCTTGGGAGTTACCATGGTATCATCTTTATTTCTTTTCTTTTTATTGAAAGGAATTATTTTGTTTAACTTTATTTATTTTAATTTGGCTAGAGAGGGACAGAGAGAGAGGGAGAAAGAGAAGAAAAGTGAGAAAGCAAGCTGTCAGGTCTAGGACTTGAACCATGGTCAGCCATGTGGGAGTCCAGTGCCCTTAACCACCATGTCACCTGCTGGCACTGGAATAGGACTTCTTTTTTATAAGAACTATTTTATTTGGGACCAGGAGTTAGCGTAATGGCTATGTCGCTGGACTCCCCCGTAGCACCTTGTAATGTGCTTTTTTTAAAAAAATTTTAATTTTCTTTATTATTATTATTAGTCTAAAATTTGCTATAGAGTACATACACTCACCAGAGAGAGAGAGAGGAAGTGAGAAAGCAAGTCACCAGGTCCAGGACTCAAACTGCAGTCAGCCATGTGGAATTCCAGTGCCCTTAACCACCATGCCACCTGCCGGCCCCTCATCTTAATTTTTTTTATTTTATTTATTTTTTCATTTTGGTGAAAAGCCAGTTAGGCTCAGTTTAGATGATCCCAAATTTGCTGGCAACATGGTCTCTTATTTATTATTTTCAAACTAGGACTCTAGGCTTCTTGCAGACACTCTGGTGGCATGAGAGACCTCCCTCAAATTGCTCATTTATTCCCAGGGAATTTTTGATGCTTCCTGATAGAGTGAAGGCTAATTCTATCAACTTTAAATGTATCCATCAGAAATCATTGTTTACTCTTGAGTGACTTGGAAATAACTAAGTCTAGGTGGCTGAAAAAAATAATGTTTTTTTCCCCTGTCTCCTCCCTATCCAAATTATAATACTGAGTATATAGTTAATGTAAAGTATTTTGAATGTAGTTATTTTTATTTTCACTAGCAAAAGAAATCATGTTTTTTTCTTATATTCATGAGAGTTATAATGATCTACATAAAGGGTTACACTTTAAAAAATAAATTGACGTTTGATCTTAGCATTCTTAGTCGATTAAGCCTATCACTTGTTAGCTCAGCTCCAGGGTTGATTTAAAAAAAAAAAAAGAAAGAAAGAAAAAAAAGAAAAGAAAAAAAAAACCACACATGCTTTAAATTTTAACTGAAATATATAGGAATTAATTTAAACCTAATTAATGGATTTAATCATTGTCTTATAAAATTACAAGGCTCTCAAGAAACTCTTTAATAAGTTAAGTGCAGCAGTGGCACATTTTGCTTCCTTTGTAGAAAAGGACAATCAGCACAATCCCGCTTGGTCATTGTAAAAGTAATTACGTGTGACAGCACAAAATGAGTATAAATCCAGTCCTTTTTTGAGGGAGCGGGAAGGGAAGTCTCAGTTGGAGATCCAGTAGAAGACTCAAATTAATCTCTACTTTTTATGGGCACAAAATATGCCTTTTGCGATGATGTGGTCTCATAGAAAATGTACTCTTGCTTCGATTCCAATGGAATATTTTTCTTTCACTAGGTTCATGGAAATCTTACCGCTGGTCATGGTCTCCTGGTGGAGTTGATAATTACATTTCAGTTGGTGTTTACTATTTTTGCCAGCTGTGATTCCAAACGGACTGATGTCACTGGTTCAATAGCTTTAGCAATTGGATTTTCTGTTGCAATTGGACATCTATTTGCAGTAAGTTTCCAAGTTCATTTAAATAATTGATCCATCTCATTTATTCTCACCCTAGAAGTGGCCTGAAGTTGTGTTTTGCAACTGTAGCTCTTCAGTATTTAGCCGCGTCTTTCATTTTAGGTGAGATGTGATGAGAACTATGCCAACTATGTGATGAGAATGCTGATACAGCTGCTAGCATCTTGAGGTTCTTCTATCTAACTGACCTGACAAATGACTGTCATTTGCAACGTATGATATCCATCAATAGGCCTGTCTCAGCAATATCTGAATTTGTTTCCTTTTGTCTTCCTATAGATCAATTATACTGGTGCCAGCATGAATCCTGCCCGATCCTTTGGACCAGCAGTTATCATGGGAAACTGGGAAAACCATTGGGTAACCATCATGGGTAGTTCCTAACTTCCCATAGTTAGGGAAAATGACCTTGGGGACTCTTTTCTTGTTGTTTTCTCACTATATTGCTCAAGAGTTTCTCTTACATTTCCTGAAAACTTAAACTCCCACTTTATTAAAACTTTCATAAAGACTAGGCAAAGACTAGCACAATTCTACTGCAAAACATCTTATATCTTTCTGAACCTTTAGTGATAGTTTTTTTGTGTGTTTGTGTGTGTGTGTGTGTGTGTGTTATTTTGGGGTTTTTGCCCTCCTCTGGGCATGTATTTGGTAAACTGTACATGGTGGTTGCCTGTGTGGAATGAATTACAATTAGGATAATTAGGATGGCATAGTGGATTTGGTGTTTAAATAATTGAAAGTAAAGTCTTCATAATGATAAGAAGAAATATACTTGCAAAAAACAAAAGAGGAAGAAGAAAGAAAAATACTTGAAAGCAACTGTCCATAGCAAAAGTATTTACCTTTTTTTTTAAAACAAATATATAAGTCCAATTAATAGTATGTGAGTCAGAAGCATTTGAACTACAGATAGTACAGAATAAGTGATGCAAATGTTTCCACTATTATCACCATAACTATAGCTGAAAAAATAAATGACTCTCAGAAAAAGTATACTTTTCAGTCTTAAGGTTAACTGATTTATTAATATGATAGCATTGCTTCCAGAGACTAGGAGTATCCATTTTTAAATGTCACAATCAATTTTCTTTTAATTGATTTTTACAACAAAAGAATTTAAATCATTTAAATGGGTAATGCAGTGGTTGAGACCACTCACACACTAACTTACAATAACCAGTAAAAACATGGACCCATATAAGCCAACTTAAAATTGGGCTTTTATTGTCATTTATGCTTTGTGAATATTATTTTTCAATTTTTTAAGTCATGAATATTATAGAATATGTCACTAGTGCTTTAATCTTGTGCTTGCAATGATTATTGACCCAGTAACACCATCAACTATGGTGCACACTGCAAACAAGAAGAAATCATGGGACCAACAGATGGCATAATGATTATGTCACTGGACTCTCATGTAGTTGACTGTGGTTCAAGTCCTGGGCCCAGTGGCTTAAACTTAAATCTGGTGTGTATGCATGCATGCCCCAAATCCCAAAAGAGACTGAAGGAGAAGGGACTGTGTTGTGGCCATCACCCCTAGCAGACAATTTCTCGCTTTCCATCTCTCTGTCTCTTTTCCATCTCTCTGTCTCTCTCTGTCTCTCCAATGAGCACACATGCCCTATAACAAAAAAAAAGAAGAAATCGCACAACTACTATATGCATTCAATTCTAACACACCAAGGCCAGCAGTTGGCATGAAGTTAAGGTGCTGAATCCCACATGGACAACTGCATGGTACAGGTCCTGAATACTTGCAGCTTGAAAATCATGCCAGGCACATGTGCATGTGTGTCCAATATCCAAGAGGAAAATGGAGAAGAGAGATTGAAGTGTGGCCATCCCCCATGGTGGGGGTCCTTTCCCTCTCTTCTCTCTCTCTCTCTCTCTCTCTCTCTCTCTCTGTCTTTGGTGAGTACTCACACCCTTTAGCAATATTTTTTAAAGTACAACTTTTTAGTTTGACTTATTTAACTCAAATTATTCAGTAATTAACAACTTTTTAAAAAATTTATTTCATTTTCATTATTTTTTTTTATTATTTGAAGTTAACCAGAAAGAGACAATGAGAGAGAAGGAAAGTGAGAAAGCAAGCTGTCAGGTCCAGGACACGAAGCATGGTCAGCCACGTAGGAGTCCAGCTGCCTTAACCCACCACGCCACCTGCCAGCCCTGAGTAATTAGCAACTTTTAATCTAATTTATGAAGACTTGAAAATGTGAATAAAATATGTTATTTATTAATTATGTGACAGTTCTAGTAAACTAGTTAAAATTTATATAGCAGAAAAATTACTTTATTGATTGAATCAAATAGTTTCTCTTGTTATTTTATAGCAAACTTAACCCTACTAAAAATGTGTGTCCATTGGGACCAGCAAGTGGCAAAATGGTTAAGGTGCTGGACTCTCACATGGCTGACCGCAGTTCAAGTGGCAGACCCATTGGTTTGAAACTCCCTCCAGGAGCGTGTGCATGTGTGCCCAAAATCCTGAGAGGAGAATGGAGGAGAAGTTGTTGCAACACAGCCATCACCCTTGGAGGGTGATTTCTCGCTTTTGTTTCTTTGGGTCTCTCTGTTTCTCTTTCTACCTCTCTGGCAAGCGCACGCCTCCTATAGCAAAAAATGTGAAGTTGATACTTTAAAGTGTAATTGTAGATAGACTAGAAATAACCGCAAAGCATCATCGTGACTTTTTGTATTATGTAATGACATTTTGATTTTTTGTTTTCATGTATTTTAGCAATAAAAATTCTTTACCTTTATAAATTTTAAAAGTTATTATAAAATACAAATGACATCATTTTGGAATGGCAATTGACACAGATTTGTTTCTTTTTGAGAACTTGTAGCTAGATGTCTTCTTCTTAGGTGTTCTAGGGAAGGGATAGTACAGTAATTATTTAGCAGTCCCTGTTCTCCCTTGTGGGGATTTATAGCCTGTGGAATAGTACATATCTAATGATATCTTACTAAAATAACAAAAACAGAGACATTTAGAGGAGAGGAGGGCTCTCATTTCTCCTTTGAAAGGGCATAGAGAAGATAAACTCTCATTTGGTTTCTTTCATGTTCAAGATAAGGAAATCGGACTTCCACTTTACCAACAGTTTCCTTGTTAAGGATGTGTGTTCAGTGGCAGTTTAAGTTTGGATTTTTTTTAGATTTTACAGTGAGGATGCTAAGTGAAATTCATTTCCAGAGGGTATTATAAGCAAGAAGCATTCATCTTCTTTTTTTTTTTTTCCAAATGAGAGAAGCATAGTACAGTGAAAAACAGTATAATGATTCAAGAGAGATTTGAAGTCAAATCTCAACCACTTGCTCAACCACTTGCTAAACATGAAATCTTAAGCAAGCTTCTTTCTCTCTCAGAGTGTCAGTTTTCTTATCCTGGAAATAGGGGCAATAATAATTTCTCTCTCAAAAGATATTGTTAGGAGCAAATTAAACAACATAGCTAGCTCAGAAAGAGTATTCAATAATCAGAGTTTCTGTTGCTCAAGTAAGTTTGTTGAATGTCTAATATTCAATAGCATATACTTTCTCTAAACAATGTTATAATTCAATCAAAATCAAAACTTATTCTAGATGTATAGGTGATATAATAAAAAGCTTCCATTTATTGAAATTCTATGGAATTGCTACTCCTTAACTGGCCATCATCCATAAAACTCAGAACAGGTGTTTTCACCAAGACACCACCATAAGAACCACATAAATGAAGCTCTCTGCAATGAAAGTAGTGAACAAACCATGGGGTTTCCAATTAAAACAAACCACCAAATTTTAAAAAATAAAGGCATGCGACATAGGGAAAACAATAACTTATGACCAACCAGTTACTACATACGAAGGACCTCAAAAAGTTCATGAAAAAATGAAATTAAAGTATGAGTTTATTTTGTTACAAGAAGATTCTGAAATCTATGCATATATTTTTTGTTGTATATATTTTCTGTGGACTCTGCAGAACCATTGTAGTATTTCGGATTTGTCATGATAGTATTCTTTTTATTAGTTAAATTGAATTATATTACTAAAATCTAGTACACAGGTCATTCCTAATCATTTTTTAAATGAAACTTCATTTATATGCATTGCCATTTAAATTGTTTATGAAGCATGGAATGGAGCAGGTTACTATGACTGGGAAATACGAAGTACTTTATATTATTTAATTCTTACACTACATATGGTGTATATTATTGCAATCCCTGCTTTGCTTAGGGAAAGTAAATGCTTAGGAAGTTAAATAACTTGTAGAAGCAATCAAAATTGCTAAGCGTTGGAACTGGGATTCCATTTACCAGGCCACGCTGAATAATTAAGCCTCCAAATAATAAAACTGCAATAAGGTCATGAATATTCAGAAAAAAAAACAGTGAAAGATGGCAATATTAAGAAAATAAGAGAAACACTTTCTACAAGTTTTGTCTTTTTTTTAATTTTACTGGGTCATCAGAAAAGTCATGACAGGGAACCAGCAGTTAGCGTAATGGCTATGTCACTGGACTCCCATGTAGTCGACCGCGGTTCGTGTCCCGGACCTGGTGGCTTAAAACTCACGCCGGGCGCGTGTGCATGCGGGTCCAAGGTCCCAAGAGGAGAATGGAGGAGAAGGGATTGTGGTGTGACCATTCCCCCGGGGGGTGATTTCTCGCTTTCTGTCTCTATGTCTCTGTCTGGCAAGTGCACGCGCCAACCTCTCCAAAAAAAAGAGAAAAAAGAAAAAAGAGAGAAAAGTCATGACACATTTTTGCATAGAAAAACTTGAAAAACTACATCATGACTTTTCTGATGACCCAATAGTTGAAGAATTCCTGATGTCTGCTTAATTTGCAGTACTAAGAAAGAGGAGCTATATTTCCTTTTGTTTTTTAATTGCCAGAGGGTATGTGCACTTATCAGAGAGAGAGAGGAAGAGAGTACCCTCTGCTAGAGCGTGGTCATACAGCAATCCCTTTTCCTCCATCCTGTCTGGATCTTGGGCACACACAATTACCTAGTATATTTTCAAGACATGGGAGTTGGGATTCAAACAGTTGGCCTTGTGGGATCCAACTCCCTTAACCTCTGAACTATTGGATTTGCCTGAGGTGCTACCTTTAGCTTAAGGTTTATCAGGAAATGAAAGCATGAAAGGAGGAAAAGAGAAAAAAACAGTTCTTTCTTCAGTCAAATGTTATTTAATAATGTTTAGATCTCCAATGTGGATTTAATGTATTTTCTTATTTCCTTTCCAATTCCCTTCTTTTTTTTTTTTTTTTTTTTTGAGAGGTTTCCGCTATAGGGCAAGTGTGCTCACCAGACAGACAGAGAGAGAGAGACAGAAAGCGAGAAATCACCCCCCAGGATGGATGGTCACACCGCAATTCCTTCTCCTCCATTCTCCTCTCAGGATCTTGGGCACACACGCGCCCGGCGTGAGTTTTAAGCCACTGGGTCCAGGACGCGAACCGCAGTTGACTACGTGGGAGTCCAGCGACATAGCCATTACGCTAACTGCTGGTTCCCCAATTCCCTTCTTTTTTAACATATGATACAATTACTCTTTTGATTTAACTCAGCCACATTCTATATTCATGAGTTTTCAATGGCATAGATTTTCTCTACTTACACGCCATCCTCTTCCATCTTTCCCCCAGATTTATTGGGTTGGACCAATCATAGGAGCTGTTCTTGCAGGTGGCCTTTATGAGTATGTCTTCTGTCCAGATGTTGAACTCAAGCGTCGTTTTAAAGAAGCTTTCAGCAAAGCTGCTCAGCAAACGAAAGGGAGCTACATGGAGGTAGAGGACAACAGGAGTCAGGTAGAGACTGATGACCTGATTCTAAAACCTGGAGTGGTACATGTAATTGACATTGACCGGGGAGAGGAAAAGAAGGGGAAAGACTCATCGGGAGAGGTGTTGTCTTCAGTATGACTAGAAGATAGCACTGAGAGCAGACGAGACCCCTTAGAACTGTCCTCAGATTTCCTCCCACCCATTAAGGAAACAGATTTGTTATGAATTAGACACGTACAGGTTGTATTCATGTCATATTACTCAGTCTAAACAAGAAGTATTTCATTATTTACCATGGAGGAAAGGAAGAAGCCTATTGTGAATTTTAAACCTAAAAGAGAAATCTTTATAAAGTATCCCTAAAACAAGTATATATCTAGTTTATCTAGTTACCTTTCATTAATAACCATTTTTAAATGTGTGTCAAGATTTGATCAAGACTTAGAACTTACAGACACACCTCTCAGCTTTTTCCTCCTCTCTCGAGAAACTGGTAGACCAATTGTCACTTGAATATTTATCCCATTAAATTTGAGTTTCATAATGGCAAAACACAATACGTGACAGAGGCATGCACATTCATGAGAAGAAATATAACAACTTCTTTCATAGGCAATCCCTTCTTTATAAATACCTCGGCAAAAGAATATTAACAAGGGTTATTTTCATTTATATTGTCACACCCAACTTTCAACCCTAACTCCAATTTGCAATATTTCTTCCTCTTCCTCAACATCCAAGGTAATATGGGACTAAAACCCAGAAATTTGAAAAGATTATTCTGAAACCCTGTATATCTATTAGTTCCACCTAATAATACATTTATAAGTCATGTTATATCTCAAGAGGACACTTATTGAGATTCAGGGCAAGGAGACTCAAAAATCTCATGAGCATGGGAAAGAAGTAACCACCATACAAAAATCACAAGGAAAAAGGAAATCTGTATACTGGAATCAAATGGTTAATCTGTTTTCAGTGCACATCCTCAAATGCACCACATAAGGTTAACAAGCTAAGCTTTTAACCACTTAACCACTTTGCTTATTTTTTTTAACATATTGGCAAAACTGGGGATTTGCTTGTTTGTAACTTCAGTTATCTATGTGTAAACATTAGCTGAGACATATTTTGATAAGAAGAACTTACCTAGTGGAGTCCTGACTTTGCATTGATTTTAAGCTCCACTCACTCTGGAAGGTGTTGGTTGGTCCTGATGAGTTCCCATCTCTGCTGCTCTCTCAGTTTTCGTGACACTGGTTGATCATCTTCACTGCAAGTGCAATGATTCTGAGTGAATCGAAATGCTTGACAAACAAGGTATGGCATAGTTGCAGAATAAAAAGGTGAGAACATTGGAATACTTGATATTCAAAGCTAACAGCTGACCAATCTTTTATTTGTAGAGAGATTGTACATAACACATTTGTAAAGTATTTTTGTTACTGACTCATTTACTTGTCTAAATAATTTGTTTTTCCCATATTGCGTTGTCTTTTGTCAGTAGAACGCTCTCTGGAAACCCCAGTTTCTATCATCTTTATTGTCTAGTCTAGACTTGATTAGTGGAAGAGCTGCAAATGTCAGTTTCACTGAACAAAAGCTACTGGTAGTAAAGCAAAACCAATCCCTGCAAGAACTGGCTTGTAAATGGCTGATAATCAAGGGCTTTCTTTTCCCAAACACAGTTCCAACTGTGTGTCACTTTCTAGTGTTAATGGTAGTTGTGCGTCTGTGGCAGTGAGATAATGGACCACTATTAAACCTGATTCTCTTCGGTGCTAGGAGACAGTGATGTGCGAAGTTCCCAGAAAGTCGGCACACCAGTATCATGCCTGGGAGTGCCAGTGGCATATTTCACCACAGGTGCCAAAATCCCAGACCCCTTTCTTAGTGGTGTGGCCATACTATACACACACACACACACACACACACACCACACACACACGCACACACACACACCAGTGACACAAGTTACTTTCTGGCTAAGACAGCACCTACAGAAACTTGGGTGCAGATCTCCTAAGGATAGACTGTACCCATCTATTCAAATGTTTGCATGATATACCACTTAAAGGCTTAAAATCAAAGGTGGTTCAGTCTAAAGGGATTCAAACTGCAGTTGGCCTTGTGGGATTCAACAACCTAATATCAACCATAGGCAAACATGTCAGTTTGAAAATAAGTCTGGCTAACAAGGAAGAGGTAAGCAGATTTTTTGAATATGCTTACAGTATACTGGCTTATAATCATTTTTATTCTGCCATACAGTTTACTTTACATGCATTCACTTTTCCACTCACTCCCTAAATTAGGGTTAAAAAAAAGATAGTGAATGATGATTTTGTAATTTGTTTTCTAACAGAAATGTCTGGCACCTAGTAGGTATTTGAAACAAGTGCGTTCGCTAATAAAAATACAGAAATCACATTTGGGATTTAAGAATATAAATAATTTTCTTTTAATTTTCATTTTGCTCAATATTTAATAAAAAGCATAATTTCAAGGAGTACTAAAGGAAGTCAACATAAATGTGAAAACCGTCAAATATATTTTTTGCATTCTGCTATGTTTAGGAGCATGAAGTGAATGAAAGCGTCTGTGCTATTTTTCCCAGCATATGAGACAACATATTTTGTATTTCACTCAAGGCTCTGCCAGTAAAAAGTAATGAAATTGTACCTTTCTAATGACATCTATGCAGCAGGGGTCTATTGCCTCGTGGATGGCACCAAATTATCCAAGTGTATTAGGAGACTAGGGCTTTTTCCTTTAATCCCTTCTTATTAATGAAGTGCATAGTGCTACTCCCAGGAGACTGCTGCTGACAGATACACAGAGAAGAGATCAGAGAGAAAAAACTGGGAAGACATAAATGAATTATACCCAGTCATGAAACTATGCCAACTGTCTCTTCCCTAAGGAAGAGTACAACAAGCGCCCCCAAATTGTGAGGTGATCCCAACACTGAAAATGTACACAGTTTGTCATAAGATTACAAAAGAAAAAGAGTCACTTTTTTTTTCAACCTGGAGCCCAGAATTCGAATGTATGTTTCTATAGTTGAAGATGACATGTTCTTCACAGAGCCCTCCCTTTTACACTGCAAGTTTTTTGTGGAACCTAAATGGTTGCCTAAATTTAAGATTCTTACAGTTTGTTTCTGCCATTTGACGCATTTCGTCAATTCTTAGACTTCTTTTATCATCTGAGACTTTTCTTAATGCAACTCATAAGTGCTGGTTAGAGCTGCTTGCTCAGGTTGAAGATTTTACAAGGAGATGAAAAATATTTGGAAGACATGCACCATGCAATTGAGCTATCTGGTTTATTAGCAAAGCCTGCTCTTTCAGGCCATGAAACCAGGCAACACATGTATCGGTTTAAACTACGTAATGACAAGAATATCCCAATGTAGAGTAGCAAATTCAAATGCTAAAATTAATCCTGGCAAGATCCTTTGTTGAACAAGTTGACACCTTCCCCACATGTTATGAATGTCTGACAGAGAAATTGCCTTTGTGACAGCTGAAGGTGACAGTCTGAGCTGGATAGACAACCTTATCAAACAATACAAAAGCCAATATAAATTCTGATCATAAGCACTATAGAACACACAAATTCAAAACATTTTATACCTGAAAGTAATTTTGTCTTTCCTAACACGTTCATGATGGGATAATTATTATGAAGATGAAATTACTATCTGGAAAGTGTAATATAACAAACTCATATTCTTTACCTCAAATTTTAAGTTCACCTTTGTGTTTTAGTACTTTACAGTTTGCCCCAAAATAGCTGTAACTTTTGAAACCTATAATTCTCTAAAACAAATGGAAGGCATTTAATTCAGAGGTAAAAACCTGGCCACTCACTTTTGCAAATGACTATTCATAGCCTGTGAAAATGCACATCAAATAAATGCTATAGAACATGTGCAATGAACACTAAATTTAAAAGCAGTTATAGTGTGACCCTTTTATGTTGAAAATCAAAGAGCTAAAAAATATACTTAATTTACGTAACCCATTGGAGTGTGTTTTTTAGATTTTCTTTAGGATTAATTAAATAAGCTTGCAATTTATGAAAATGTATAAACAATTATTTATCACATTTATGACCCACATCACAAGAAAATTGTAATTCATGACAAACTGGGGATAATAAACTGAACATATGGTTATATTCACAATTATTTATTAACTGAAATGTTACTCCAACATTAGAGCTAATGGTAAAGAGATTTAAACTGTAATGTCTAATATTTTGAATAATCTATTAAAGTTTTGTGGCCGATTTCCATGAATTATGTTGCATCTCATACTACTAAGCTCATGCAAATAAACTTTTGAATGTCTTAAAAAGTAAACACTGTGTTTGATGATGTTCAGAAATCCATTTGTAGCATGTCTAAGTTACCTTATGGACATACTTTAGAATGACCAGGATATTTAGATATTTTAATATAATCAACATGAAGTGAAATGACATTAGAAAACACTAAATCAAATGTGTCTTTGGAAAGACTATAGAGGATACGGTGGAAGGCCCTCATAGACAATGAAAGTTGTGTTTTCACAGGCTTAATTCAAATGTCCACATCTGTGCATAATGGACTACTGGATATCAATGCTCATTATAGTCAGTTTAAAATGGAAAACTCAACTACACAAATTACTAAATAGATGGTCCATCCTCAGAGCATTTGGCAAATACTGCCTACCCAGATGGGTAATGTAGACTCAAGGAGTACTGGTTTACCCCCTTGGGTTCTTGGATTGAGGGGTTTCTCAATTTCGAGAAGTCTCTCAGTGGAGAACTGAGAACAATCATTTATGTAGTCTGCAACCCATCAAATACATGCTGAGCAATGCCTTAGGAGCCAGGTGGATATATGAACCTCTCATGGCATTTGTCACATTGCAGTGAAATAATTTGTGTAGGTACCTGTCTCCTCCACTAGATTCTGAATTCCTTAAGGGCTAAAACTGTGTCTTATTTATTCTGTCATCCTCCTAACCTCCACCCCTTAGCAATGAGACTAGACTTCACATTTCACTCAACAAGGGCTTCTTGCATAGATAAAGAAAGAAATTAATGAGTATTTTTATAATCATTAGGAAATGTCACCAAGCATTATCCTTCTATCCAGTTTTTTGCCACATAGATGTGTGTTAAATATTTGAATTCTTAACAGTTTTGTAAAGAGCCTGAAATGAGCTCAAACACTAAAGAAAAAGGAAAATGCACACGAAGAATGAAACACTAATTGGATTTCTAAAATTTATATCTAATGTGTAGGCAACAAGACATGTTTTCATTGCTATATTTATACAATGGCCAGATGTTAGATGAATTTAGCTCAATGAGTATTTCAGCAAGAAAAGTATTTTAACAAGCATGGAAGCTACAGATATAAATGTCAGCCTGCTTTTAGATAATTATTCTGCTTGGAACATGTCCAAAACAATATGTCACCTGAATTAATTTTTACTATTTTTCAATGGTTCCACTTCTTCACCCCTTAGGCTTAAGGAGATATTGAGGATTCTAAAAAGCTGAGTTGAGTTCTTCTACTCTCAGACATCTCTGAGAAACCATGAGGCTGACGTTTATAGCCTTTCTGCATAATGTAGTGATAGCATGTTACCTGTTGCCAATAAATGCAGGATGAATGGACGTGTGGATGGAAGGATGGGAGGGTGGGTGGATGGATGGATGGGTAGGTGGATGGATGGAAAAAAATACTCCAGTCTGGAGATAATAAATTAATCCATGAGCAAAACTAAACCATAGCCTCTATTCCTTCTTCCCTTTCAAGAACTACTTTTCATAAAAAAAGCTATGAAGGAAAGAATTAGCCACAAAGAATTAGTTACAAAGGGGAGAGGAAAAATGAATGGATTAGAATAATTATCAACTATGAGCACATATGTATGGGGCTTTAGACAATTAAATATTATTCACAATCTTCAAGGCTCATTGTGGGGTAAATGTTATTATCATTCCCTTACTTCTTCATTTTCAAAGATGAGGAAAGAAAACATCAAGGGGATTAAGTAAATTACCCCAAATTACTCCTAATGGTAAGCAAAAATTTTAACCCATATCCCAATTAAACCCACTCCCTCATGTAATGGCTCTAAAGCACACCAAGTTCTCCCATTCATCTATTAACCTAGTTTTCCATCAGCCATGTTTTCTTTCTGAAATAAATCTGTTTTAGCCAGACCAGAGAGAATCTTATGTATAACACTACCAAGGGGCAATAAAACAAGTATTATAGGCCTGGAGTAAGTATTACAGACCTTTGAAAAGGTATCAAACAGGAGAGCAGGGTTGACTGCTACAACAGGCTTACTTTAGAATTTTCTGAATAATTTAGGAAATTTGGGGGTGATTTTTCTCTTAGGAAAATATTATCAAGACCATTATTTAAGATATTTTTCATTTGGTCTAGAAAATAAAGTTGAGGATCAACTGCAAAGTTGCTGATACCACATTTCAATAGTAATCACTTTCAATTGTTGAGCACTTACTCGGCACCAATATGTGCTTTACACAAATTTACTTATTCCTCATAGAAACTTTATGAAATGAGTACTGCTATTACCATCATCTTACAGGTGAGGAAACTGAAGTTTAAGGAGGCAAGTGACTCATTCAGTCACGTAGCTTTGATAGAATAGGTTCTGAACCCAGATAGTTCATCCATGGCTCTCCTCTCTTAGCCCTGGTTGTTTCTAACCTGTGGTGCCTTGGGCTTTCAGTAGTTTCAACTTTCATTATCTGCTTTTTCCAAGCCTTTGACTTTTTCATATCCAACAGAGATTGCAGTACATTGGAACCTCTCTGTTGTTTCCGACTTAACCTCTGATTATCATTTTGACCACTTGTGAAGGAAGATTTAAACACTCAAGTGCAAATGCCACAAAGATAAATTAGCTACACCCACCAAGTATTTTTCAAAGAGACTTTGCATGGCCAAGAAAACGCCTTCTTCAGTGAGCAGAAGTATGACAGAAACTCTTGTACAATACACCTACTCCTCTTTAGCACAAAATTCTTAGCTGGCCTTTAATTTACCCAATAATTTCTCCTTGCCCTTAATTAAGACGTAGACTGTCATTTAATTTTAATTGTCAGTATATATTTTAATTCTTATTGACTTGTTATTCACTCATTCCTTATATGCCTAAGTACATATTTTGTTCAAGGATCTACAGAAACCCTTCATAAATTAAACTTATTTATTAAGTATGATTTTTTATTTGAATAAAGTAAAAATTTAATAAGGGAGTCAATAAAATGGAGATGGGCACCACTTACTTCAGACTAGTCTCCAGAGTTAAGACTATTTAAAACATGAAAATGGCTTTTTAAAGATATTTCTGAATGGGCCAAGTTGTACCATTGTCACACTGGCAACAGCTTTGGAAATAATTGAATATAATAGACATCGCCGATACTTTCTCTCTCCTTCAAAAAGAAAGAGAGAAATTTGTGTTTATAAACTAGGACTGAACACACCATTATCATCCTATTTCCAAATTACAGGATTGCAGACTAAATCCTCAAGTATTTTGATACCAGACTCTCAGAAGACAAAAAAAAACTCAAATCTTTAAAAATATAGAAATGGGGACCAGACAATGGTACAGCAGCAAAACATGACACTCTGCGAGCATGACCCACGGGATAAGTTCTGGGTTCACATCCAGAGACCTTTCTGAGTACGCCCGACATGAACATGCCCATGATCTGAGTCTAAGAGTGGGCTGTGATATGAAGACCCTGTTGGGGTGCTGTCTCTCTTTCTCTCTCTCTCTCTCTCTCTCTCTCTTTCTCTCTGTCTCTTTTGCTCATGGAAAAAAATAAACCTTTTTAAAAGGTAGATATGTACTAGGAACGACTGTGGAAAACTATTTAAGTTTCGGTCTCCCAGAGGGGAAAGAAAGGAGAAGGGAGTGACGAGGCAAGGAGAGTGCTAACCCCCCAGTAATGGGGAAGCGAGCAGAGAGGAGCTCCTGGCTCTCTGGCCTCCCACTCAGGCAGGAATTAGCAGAACAGCAGTCACCCCATCCAGAAAAACTCCCCATGCTAAGTCAGTGTCTTCTTGTCATCCCATGTTGTAACTGGTGCCTCAAAGAGAACTGGACTATGCACAGTCTTTGACAAACTCATGCTTTTGTCTTGATTTTAATTGTCTAAATGTCAGGCTGAGAGGAAATAGATTCTTTCCAATGATTGAAAGGACTCATTGAATCTTGATATACAGCATTAAATGCAGAATAAAAGCAGTATCTCATTTATCTCAAGAAATCCAGTGTATCTTTATTTTTTTTTCAAGTTTATTTATTGATGTCCTCTGAGAAAGAAACAGAAAGACAAAGAAAAGGAACCCAAGACAATTCTTCACAGCACAACTCACCCACTTTCAGCTAGTCAGGATTAAGTGTACATCTTCTGTGCAGAGCAAGGCTCTAGAACCAAAGATAGTCCCGTGTGGGTCCAGTTGCATTACTGTCGTGCCATTCTCTTGCCCTATAAAATTTACTTATTTTAAAAGTATGGGGCATCTGACGATGTGGTAGTTAAGGCATCTGGATTCCACATGGCCGACTGCATAGTTAGACTCCTAAACCCTGAAGCTTGGAGAAAACACACTAGGCACATGTGCATGCATGCCCAAAATCCCAGAAGGAGGAAAAGAAGAGATTGTGGCATGGCCACACCACATAGAGGTGTTTTGTCACTTTTCTGCTCTTTCCGTTTTTCTGTTTTTCTCTTGTAAGCATGTGCACCTCCTGGGAAAATTTTAAATCTATCTTTATCTACCTATCATCTCTCTATCTATCTATATCTATATATCTATCTATATCTATCTATCATCTATCTACAGATAGAGCCCAGCTGTGGTAGCATGTGCTGGATACTGTTGCTTAGGAGACTGAAGCCACTCAGGAGGTCCAAGTTCCATTCCTAGACCATCCCAGAAAGTCAGACAGAGTGGTGTGTGCCTCATAATGACTTGTACTCCCAGCTGTATGCAAGAGGATCACACATACACTCACACATGAACGAGGCTGAGGCAGGAAGATCACATCACATACAAAACACACACACATGCACACACACACACACACACACACACACACACATAAAATTTTGAGCCTAAATCTCAGCACATGTCTAGTGGAAATAATTTACTATCTTAAACTACCCCAGAATTTCAATGTCAAAGCTT